TGGTATTCTTTGCCCCCATAATTCCGCGTCTAAGAACCTATTTTAAGAACATGACAGGGCATGTGTCAGGGAGCTCTACATGAAGACCGTCATACCAGTAGGGTGCTTATCATAACAAAACATGGAAATAACTTACACACCTCTCCTGGGTAGTGGAGTAAATAAACATCCTTCATTCACACTGTCCCACGTGGCGTCATTAGCCACATGAGGCTATCCAAACTTAAATGTATTAAAAATTAAATACAATGTAAAATTCAGTTCCTTAGTTGTATTAGCCACATTTCAAGTGCTCAGTCACTGTATATGACTAGTAGCTATCATACTGAACAGGACAGGGACAGAACACGTCCATTCTCGTAAAAGCTACTACTGGATAGTGTTGCTCTATGCCCATTAGAATCAGGTTTTTTAAAAACATTCAATAACATAATATATATGCATAATATGATGGTAAATAATAATATCTGAATACAAACTATTTGGTGGCAATGGCAATGCAGACTGGCTACAGTAACTTCAATCACCAATATCTTCATCAACACAAGACCTGCCCTCATGAAGCTCATTATTGAGAGAGAGAAAGAGAGAAGAAGAAGAAGAAGGAGAAGGAGAAGGAGGAGGAGCAGAATGGAAAAAATATCTGAAGATTCATAGGTACATAGGAATTAAATGAGATACATAGAGAAACCTGACACATAGTATCTACAGAGTGTTAATTGACTCAAAATCCAAATGGAAATTATCATGCTGGATCATAGGTCAGACTTAGCGCTATCTTCTGTGCCCAACAGTGGTCTGGAAAGAAGCCATGATTCTCCTTCTGCCAACATCTATTGTGCAGTCATCCAAGTCACAAAAGCGACTTGGCCAACACATCACACTGAAGAGCCTGTACTCCATAATGTAAAGAACACTACAGAGTATTTGGTAAATATGGAAAGACTGAGAGGCCTCTTGAACATCAACACGTCAGCCACTCTAAAAAGAACACTTCCCTTTGATTTGATTAAAATCTTGGAAAAAACTTTGAGAAGCATGCAGATAATTTGGACCCTACAGAGTCCCAAAGTTTGGATATGTGAGATATAGACTTCAAAGTGACTATGTTTACTGTGCTTGAGAAATTTAAATAAACATTATTTAATACTTTGAAACGGAAAATCCTAAAAAGTCTCAGAGCAGATTTGAAAAAGAACCAAAACAAACATTTTTCTTAGCTTCCCAGTGACACTAAAAAAGCTAAACAATTTTTTAAAAAATCTTGAAGGTAGCAGAGAGTAACTAAAATAGTGAGAAAAAGAGATCTGAGAGCAGATGAAAACTTAAAGATGTGGGCTTCATACTTGGGATCACTTTTATTAAATGACGTTTGTCAAGGTCAAAGAGAGATTTGAGAGGCTGAGCGTCATGTTTGTAGCTTGTGGGGCACCAAAAGTTGAAGGCCAGAGTTCACCGAGGACGGGTGCTCTGGAAAACCCTCTGCACTTTGTGCAAAACAGAAAATACCAGCTTCTGAAAGGACTGTGATCCAGCTTTCAGTCATCTGGATTGCCCAGAAAGATCTCAAGCCCTGAAAATGGACTAAAATTATCCCAGATTTTAAATCCCCCAGGTTCCTGAACAAACAAGCCAAAACCTTCTCTAGACCACCATTCTAGGCCTCAAACTATTTCTACAAAGAAACCTTAAAATATTAAGTCCATCAATCAAAGATAACCAGTCCACGAGGACAGATGAGACACAATGAAAATAGTCCCTACGGGGCTCCAAAGTTTAGATTTATCAGACACAGACAGACTTTAAAATAATTATGTTCACTGTTTGAAAAAATGAAAAATATTAAAAACTTTGTAAAATAACTGAAAATCCTAAAAAGTTACTGAGCAGATTTGAAAAAGAACTGGGCTTGGTGGCTCAGCCTGTAATTCCAGTGCTTTGGGAGACTGAGGTGAGTGGATTGCCTGAGCCCACAGTTTCGAGACTCGCCTGGGCAATTTGGCGAGACCTCATCTCTACAATAAATTTTTAAAAATTAGCCGGGCATGGTAGTGCACACCTGTAGTTCCAGCTACTTGGAAGGCTGAGGCAGAAGGATCTCTGGAGCCCAGCAGGTCGAGGCTGCAGTGACCGGGAGTGGCCACTGCACTCCAGTCTGGGTGACAGAGTGAGACTTCAACTCAAAAAAAAAAAAAAGAAAGAAAGAACCTAATAGAGATCCTAGAACTAAAAAAATGCAATAACTAAAATAATTCAATGAATGAGTTTAGTGATTGACTAGACATATATGAAGAGAGTATTTGTGAACTGGAAGACAGGTTTGTAATGAAGCAAGGAAAATAAAAAGTTGGAATATATGGAAGAGTTCATGGGAAACATAAAGGATATGAAGAGAAGATCTACATTGGAATTCCAGATGAAAAAGTGAACCAAAGCAATTCAAAGATAATGGCTATTTCCCCATAAATCCAAAAATTCATAAAGTCTTAGGAAACTCAGACAGAATAAATAAAAAGAAATCCACAGGCTGGGTGCTGTGGCACACGCATATAATCCCAACACTTTGGCACACGCCTATAATCCAAACACTTTGGGAGGCTGAGGTGAGATGATTGCCTGAGCCCACAGGTTCAAGACCAGGTCGGGCAACTTGGTGAGACCTCATTTCTACAATAAATCAAAAACTTAGCCAGGTGTGGTGGCACACACCTGTAGTTCTAGCTACTTGGAAGGTTGATGTGGAAGGATCCCCTGAGCCCAGCAGGTTGAGGCTGCTGTGGCCATGAGCATGCCACTGCACTCCAGCCTGGATGACAGAGTGAGACTCCAACTCAAAAAAAAAAAAAGAAAGAAAGAAAGAAAAAAGAAATCCACACCATGTTAAAACTACAGAAAACTAAAGACAAAAAGGAAAATCTTAATAACAATCAACAATAAAAGATTCCCTTTAGAGAAACAACTAAAATTTTCATTGACTTTTTAACAGCAGCAATGGAAGCCAGGAGGAAATGGAATCTATCCTCAATGGACTGAAAGAAATTACTGCCAACAGAGAATACTATACCTACTTTTTTAAAAAGCTTAAATAATGAGAGTAAAATAAATTATTTTCAGAAAAAAAGAATTTTTCACCAGCAGACCACATCTTTAAAAATACACGAATGAATGTTCTTCGCACTAAAAAAGTAACCCCAGACAGAATGTCAGAGATGTAGAAGGAGGAAAAAGCACTAAAAATGGAAGAATTGGCAGGCTGAACTCTGTACAAGAATATGATGTTGAATAAATACAAGAGGCTGATTTACAGGGTGAGATTCTCTCCTCTCTAAACTAGTAAGAAATTATATTTGGCTATCCTCTAAAGGAAAATAGTTAAGCCCTATCCCCACATCACATTACATCACATTTTAGAATATACTTTTTGCTATTTTGGGGTGGCAGAAAACCAATGCCTTGAAGAAGAGACACACAGACTTTACTACACTATTTTAAAACTATAAATGTCCAAAGAAACCACTCATCAAGTAATAGAATGAGAGAAAATATTTGCAATAGTTTAACAGTTAGAATTAGGTCCAATTACATATGAAGTGGAACCTACAGGTAGAAACAGGTGGGATACACGGTTTTTATGAAATTTGAGACAATATTTTACTCATTAAACCACACATGTATTGTTACTTGATTTTTTTTTTGAGTTGGAGTCCCACTCTGTCACCTAGACTGAAGTGCAGTGGCACACTCCCAGCCACCGCAGCCTCTCCCTGCTGGGCTCCAGCGATCCTTTCGCCTCAGCCTTCCAAGTAGCTGGAACTACAGGTGTGCGCTACCACACCTGGCTCATTTTTTTGATTTATTGTAGAGATGAGGTCTCGCCAAGTTGCCCGGCTGGGTCTTGAACCCACAGGCTCAGGCAATCCACTTGCCTCAGCCTCCCAAAGTACTAGGATGACAGGCTGAACCACCGAGTCCGGTTGTTACTTA